CACGATGGAGAGGATCACACACTAACACTTGAAAGTCCACCTTTCCCTGGGAAGGCCCTGAAGAGCATGCTGCAGGTGATGATGACTGATCAATTGGGCCTCTACTTTCCTGATGGCCGACTGCCCATAGGACAGCGCAGAACTGCCCCTGTGGGTTTCCAATACAGTAACTCTTTATGGGAACAGAAAGCCCCGACTTTCTCCTGAGGAGCGACTAGTGGTTTCGAACTACTGAATTGGTGGCTAGCAGCCCAACTGGGAACCCACTACATCACCAACCCAAATAAAATGCACCATAAATAGTAGTACTAAGTATGCACTGAGTGTTTCTTCAAAAACACTCTAGAGAATTAAAAAAGGCAAACACACATAAAGCAGGGAGAAATGAAATGTGCAAGTTGTTCGCGAGTTTCGGACAGACCCTTCATAACTACCAGGCTTTTCAAGATCCTACTTTGGTCCTTTCTCAACACTACTCCCTGCCTTCAAGTCGATTCCGACTCACAATGACCCTATAGGGTCATTGAATTGCCCATATGAGTTTCCAAGACCGAAAATGTTTATGGGAATAGAAAGCTGCCTCTTTCTCCCTCAGAGCAGCTGGTGGTTTCAAACTCCTGACCTTGTGGATTGGAGCCCAGTGCGTAAACCACACCACCAGGGCTCCTTGTTAATGGTGGAACAGGGTAAACTAGTGGGCAGGTTAGTGTAGAAACGATCTAGTGTAGGAAACATCTAGAAATGGTTTGATATCACAAGCTTGCCAAGCAGCCTGAGAGAGCCAGTAATTAACCTTCCCCAGGATAAGCAATGGGAAATAGGAGTCATTTATAAAGCCGTTTCACACGGGACTAATATGTTGTACATGTTAGGGTTTCGTGGATGTATCCCAGGAATAGATGATAACAGTTTGAATGGGCAACACTTTGCTCCAAAACTTGGGAATTTTCTATGAATTGATATATATACATACGATGACATAAAAATGAACTTTATATGATAAACTGTTCTGTATAGGGTTCACATAGGAAGATTTAAGTCTGTACACTTTTAAGTTACGCAGACTTTAAGTTCCAACAGTACAAATACAGTTAAAGAGGTGAAGAAAACAATATGAAATTTGGGGGGGGGGGAGACTATGTGCATGCATTTTTGGTATGCCTGAATGATTACACCCTTGTCAAGTCCATCTATCTTTGGGTGAAAATGAACTTGGCAGTTTAAATTTACCTCAGTTCCAAGCAGAGCATATAAACAATGTCTCCTTTTGTTACCACAAAACTTTAAAACAGTCATTTAGGAAAAGGTCACTTCTCAACGGGGATTCTCTAACAGGTGAAATCAAAGTTTTCTTGCTGACTCCTTGGAGGCCCAAACCCTTTCATATAAGGGAAAGGGGAGGGGGGCAGCCTTTGCCCAGAACGAAGAACCTTCACCTGAGGTGACCCAGTTTTAAACTCAGGCCTGTGCAACCTGCACTCGGAGGAGAGATTTTCAATGTCCCTAATGTACCGCTCCCCCACCCCCACCCCCGCCCCCCCACAGAACCCAACTCCCTCCACAGAAGCCTGAAGTGTTTCTATTTCACCTCATGCCTCCTGCTTTCTGTTTGCTTAGTTGTTTTATGATTGTTTTAATGCCTGTGCTTGTAAATGTACAAGATAGGAAAACAAATCAAAAGAGGTAAAGCGCTCATTAGACTGCCTCCTTAACCCAAGCCAGGCAGAAAAAGAACTAATCGATATTTAGTACTTTGGACATATGGCCCTAAGAAGGTAAACAATAGCAATAAAACAGAAGAGAATCCTATTCATTTTCATCATCACTATGATTATTATTATTTTCCCTTTTGTTGGCTCTGAATGGCCACACTTTGCTTTAGGGTTTTCCAAATAAACAGCCCAATCCGAGAGGTGATTTTTCATTGCCCGGTGCCCCACTTAGAGTACAAGTCAGTCCCCCAGTCAAGAAAATAAAGACCAACATTTTCTTTGCAATCTCCATTTTCAAGATTTTTCTCTCCCATGTAGACCAAGTGGAGTCACTGTTTGCATTCTAGGGGCCAAGGCGAATTTTCAAACGAGGTCTTTCAAAGAACTACAGCTTGTCAGGGACCAGGTTCTCCCTTTTCCTCTTTGTAAATGGCATTTACAAGCACTGCATTGCTTCAGATGCAAGACTGTTTAATTACACTCATACACACTTCACACTGGTACCAGTGAGAGATACCTATTACAATGTGAAGCTGGAATATACTATTCTGTACACAACCTTGGCATTTACATCGATCCTAATTAGAAAGTCTAAGAAACTGTCACACAGTTGATTAAAAAAAAAAATCTTATCATGGGGCAATCACTTCGCAAGTCTCTCTGGTTAATCTGCTGAACTGGAAGTCACTAGGAAATTTACAGTTGCTGCTCAGTGTTCAAGGAAGCACTCTAGTCCGCTCTGGCTCAGGCCTCCTTCCAGGTAATGCCTGCATCTGGGCTTGCTTCCACCTGCGAGTGTATTACAACCCAGGCCAAGCACCCCGGGCACCACAACCACCGCCCACCCGTGCTCCTTTGACATCCTGGTGAGAACCTAAACTCGAAAAGAAAACTTTCTGGCCGCCACCTCTACTCCTCGGGCCCCACACTGGCTTTTGTTCCTCCTCGATGCCCATCTGATGAAGAGCCGCTGCAGCAGCCCAACCCGAAAGGTCCTGAGCTATTTTCTGGGATGGTCATTTTGGAGCCTCGCGGAAGAAACCAATTTTCTACGCACGGTGTGTGTGCGAGGTGTACAAACACACGATGAGTGCGCGTGGGGTGGTCCGACATGGAAGTCTGCCTTTCCAATTCGATTTTCACTTTAGGTTCAGGAAAGTCTCCTCGTCCGTGGGGGG